TCTTGGTAGACTATAAACAGTTCTCCAATATACGATTACAAGACAGGAAATGCAGGATATATGACCATCTAATCATTAGACACTTTGCCTCAGAGGGTGACAGGCTTCCTATTTTTCTGCTAATTTATCCTGAAAGGACCTCTGTCACCTATACTGTCATTTATTCAATACAGAGATACAGTCATGTAGCTGTAATATTATTTGCAGAACTCTTGCTTCAAAATGTCCCAGATAATTGCTATGGACTCTATGTGAGGAGAAGTTACCTACAGGGCTCAGGCTTTATTTCAGACTAATTCGAAACGTAACATTTGTAAAGCTGTAAGATGCGCTGAGAACTCTATTGGTGCCAAGAACATACAGCTTGTGCTAGTGCCCTTCTGCAGAATCCACAGTGCGGGGTGGTTAGAAGGTGTGATTTTGCCAGCTGGCCTGAGCAGGGGCACAATTCAGGTACTCTTAGCTTCAGCAGGAATTCAGACAATCCTAACTGGACCAGTCTGGAGGTACAAGTAGGCTGACAGCTCTGTTGTGACTGATAAATGAACAACATCTATGACAGAGTCAAGGGCCTTAAAAGGACCAGCTTGTGGCATGCAGGACAGAAGCATCACCAGCTTCATTGGGCTTACTGGGATCACAATAAATCAGAACCATGACAAAAAAAATGTGGGTGATTGATAGGTATAGGTGGGATGTCTAAGATCACCAGCTACGACTTCACAGCATAAGTCTTAATAAGGTATGGTTTTCTATATTTCGATTGCTTGAGGATTTCAGAACAAGATATTGTTAAGGCAAGATATTAGGCAGGTGGCCAGACACGGCCTGAGGTTAAACTGATGGAATAACAAGAGGAACTGTTGGATGTTGCAGACAATGGGACCGGAAAATTGGCTAACCAACCCTAACCTTGGGTCTAAACTAATGAGGTAGTGGCAGGAGAAGCTACTGGGCATTACATACAGTGAAAGGAGCGTTTTGGGGACCCCACCTTGAGTGTGATATCAACAGAAAGTGAAGGGGGTGTTGGCTTAATTGGGGGTACTAGCTAAAGCTGAAATTACCAAATAAAGGTGCAAAATTAGCAGAACAGGGCCAGTGGTGAAAAAGTTGGGGTGGGATGTCTGTTTTGGAGTTGGGGGGAAAGCAAGGAAAGGTAGTAGAAGGTAAAGAAAGTGGTGTCTGTTTGGGGGTACCTGTCAAGCAGCCCTATGCTTGAACAACGCCGGGAGCAAGGCAATAAGCCTGTTTGTGCTGACCTTACAGTGTGTGTCCAACTTGCTCAGGAGCTCCTGGTTATCTGGAAGGTCTCCCTTAGCACCTATGAAGAGACACCCCAGAGGGGACGGAGGACAGACCAAATATATGCCCCTGTTACTTTCACACTGGATTTATTATTGACCTTTAATTAGTGGATTTCTTTTAAAAAAATAATCCATGTTTTCACTGAAACATATACTCAGTACATACAAGTCAAGCAGGGCTACAGAAATGCATTCTGTTTCACCCAGCTGTTGAGGAGCATTGTCCCCCTTCTGGTAACTCAGTTTGTATTAGGACTGCTAAAATAGAGCTACAAGGATGATTAGAGGACTAGAACACTTCTCTTATGAGGAGAGGCTGAGGGACTTGGGTCTTTTTAGTCTGCAGAAGAGAAGACTGAAGGGGGACCTCATCAGTGCTTATAAATACTTAAAGGGTGGGTCTCAAGAGGATGGGGCCGGTCTTTTTTCAGTGGTGCCCAGGAGATAGGACAAGAGGTAACAGTCCAAAACTTGAACGTAAGAAGTTCCATCTAGATATGAGGAGGAACCTCTTTACTTTGAGGGTGGAAGAGCACTGGAACAGGCTCCCCAGGGGTTCCACTCCTTCTCTGGAGACATTCAAAACCCACCTGAACATGTTCCTGTGCAACCTGCTCTGGGTGGACCTGCTCTGGCAGGGGGGATGGACTAGATGATCTCCAGGGGTCCCTTCCAACCCCATATCATTCTGTGATTCAGTAAACAGCATAGAGAAAAGCAGACACATCCAGAAATGTCACTAGTGTAGTTTGCCCTTTTATCTGCAAAATGAATGGCTGGTCTTTGTATTAGTAACTGTAGTTCTGAACTTGCTATATTAGGGAAGCTAATTCTGCGAGTCCAGATCTAATTCCACAATTTTTAACACATACATAAAATTTTTTTATATGACAATTCTTACCAAAAAGGAAATAACTCTTTTGAAACTGTATCCTAAGACGTACTAAAGTTTTCTTCATTTAAAAGTAATTAAAAAAATACATAGCCCAGTTCCCTGTTTCAGGGAAAATGCCTGAAAGCCAGTATTTTATCAATATAGCAGATTTTTATGTGGATACTGAAATACTACGCTTTAGGCTAATTTCAGAAATACCTGAAATGAGATGCTATAAATTCTCCCAGTAGGTGGCAACAGAATGACAGAATGGACTTCTGCAGGGGACACGAGGAAGCATTTCAGTCTTCATTCACATAACATAAGAAGGTACTATAATGTGTGGGAAACACACAGACTTTCATCTGTGTCCTTCCATCACCCCAGACCAGCACGTCTTTCCAGCACTTGAGTTTATGGGCCATCTCATGGCAGAGCAGGTCAAGCACTGTCTTTGGCCTAAAGCAGGTCTCCAAAGGCATTTCTCTTAGCTATGTGTCTGTGAGGAAGGGTCATCCCCAGGTTCTTCAAGCTCAATTGATTCTAGAGAGACGGGACATAGTCATTGCACTCCCACCACCCAGGGACACCACTCAAGACTTGGTCAATCCCTGCTTCCTGGAATTTTTTGATCCACCCTCTCTTCAGTGTGGCCACCCAAAATTGGTGAGTTTACGGGTCCTGGGACAGTTGAGTTTGGTTGGGGTGGAGAGAGGAATGATAAACAGACTCCCAGAGGTGCTCTCACTGCCTATTTCAGAAGAGAGAAGGGGGGCAATGGAAGAGCAGAGAAGGGACTTAGTCCAGCAATGGACTAAGTTGCAAATAATTCAGTAATTCACAGAGCTCCTTTAGGTGTTGGAGCTGCTAGATCTGACATGTTAACTCACGGAGTGCCTATGAGGATTTGGGCAGTGGACTGCTCAAAGTATTTGCTGTGGGACCTTTTCCTGAGGTGATTCTCTGCCCAGAGCACCACATCTGGTGGAACTGAGAGCTTTAACAATTTCAGATTGTCTGAACGCTGGAGCTTGGCTGGAATATTGCCAGTTCCATTGGGAGAAGAACACTAGAACAACCTATTTCTCAGTCTCAAAGCAATGATCTGGTGATTTTCTGGGGAAGCGTGGGATTCAGAGAGCTTAAACAAAGCAGAGGATAGAAATTGTCACAAGAATTCTTCCTCTGTAAAAAATACTTGTGGCTCCAGAAATCTCTGTAGCTTTTCCTAGCCCAAATCAAAGAGGAGTGATTTGCAGGACTATGTAAAGATCAGCAAAATGAAGACTACGTATATCAAAGTAAATGTAAGTATATAAAAACCAGTATTAACTATTTTGCACTGTTAAAATGTTGATGTTATTTAGAGAAGATACATAAATGCAGGTTGCTGGCAGTGGCAGAGCAATGTATTAGTACCACCATGTCCAAGTAAACTAACCTAAACTTTAGGAATTGCGTATTTAAATTTCTACTGATTAAACATCATAATAAATGGTAAGTTTATAAAATCAGGGGATACATAATGCTCAGATTCAAGCAATTAAGTGTGCCTTCCTCTTTGTTATCTAGGAGTTGCAAACACAAGGATTTCTCCCCTGGCAGAAGCTGCTGCCTTCCAATGCTGGGCCAGCACAGAAGGAGCAGACAATAAATTGGTGGAAGCAACTGCCCTAATTTGGTGTGAGAGTGTTTATGTGATGCCTCCAGCTACGTCTTGCAATAAGCACTGCAATGAGAATCAAATTTCTTTCTGTGTTTGGACAGAGGAGTTAGAGCCTGGACTGAATACTGCCCCGTACTGCCGGCAGCCCAGGTGATTCCACACAGGAAGAGAAGCAACAGAAGTAAAGTCAAACATTAATAAAAAGGCAGCTGGAGTAAGAAAGGAAAGAATTCAGGCCATCATTTAAGAGCCCTGCTAGAGCACACTTCAGAATGGTAATTATATTTACTTTCCAGTTCTCTATTTTTGGATTTTCTTCTCTCCTCTTGTTCATTCATTTGAGTTCTTATACCCTCTTGTCTTCTGTATTGGAATTTAGGAGTGATTTTTGTCTACGCGTGTATGTGCTGGCAGAACAGGGAGCTGGGATGGTATGTGTCTTGTAGGTGATACATATGGATAGAACTGGGCATGTTTAGTTGAACTGGGCACGTTTAGTTTGGAGAAGAGGAGGCTGAGGGGACAGGGAGCTGGGATGGTATGTGTCTTGTAGGTGATACATATGGATAGAACTGGGCATGTTTAGTTGAACTGGGCACGTTTAGTTTGGAGAAGAGGAGGCTGAGGGGAGACCTCATTGCCCTCTACAACTCCCTGAAAGAAGGGTGTAGAGAGGTGGGGATTGGCCTCTTCTCCCAAGGGAATAATGACAAGAGCAGAGGAAATGGTCTGAAGTTAAGGTAGGGGAGGTTTAGATTAGATATTAGGAAGAATTACTTTACTGGGAGGGTGGTCAGGCACTGGAACAGCCTGCCCAGGGAGGTGGTGGAGTCGCCATCCCTGGAGGTATTCAAGAAACGTGTAGACATGGCACTTCAGGGCATGCTCTAGTGCCTGAGATTGTTGGTTTGTGTCTGTTTGTGGGTGGGTGTGGGGTGTTTTGGGGCTTTGTTTTGTTTTTTTTTTTTGTGGTTGGACTCGATGATGACAAAGGTCCCTTCCAACCATGAATATTCTGCGAGTCTGTGATACTGGGGTGTTAGAAAGTACAGCGGACGGCGCGTTGCGAGGCCACGCTGGGATTGAATAAGCCCGTCGAGCGAGGCGGGACTAAATTTGAAATGTGGGGCATACCTGAGCCCTGAGTTCGCGTGGGGCGGGGATGCAGCGGGGCAGAACGGCGGAGCCTGCCACTTATTCCCCGGCGGCGGGTGACGCTGAAGCTCAGCGGCAGGTGCCGGCTGCGGGAGCCCAGGCTGCCTCCCACCCCCCAGCCCCGAGCCGGGCTCCTCCAAAGACCACACCACCAAAGGGAAGGAGACGCTGGCCGAGACACCATGGTAAGGGGTGGGGGGGGGGACATGTGGGAATGTGGGAATGCCAGTCGCACGGGGACCGGGAGGAGGGCGGGAGAGGGAAGGCAGCAGGATCCGATGGTGTTATTGGGGGTTTGTGCCACAAAACCCTCCTCTCACGCACCCATTACCACGTAGGAGTGTCAGAAAATCTCAACGGAGCTGTGAGGCACGGCGGACCAAAGTTTTCTTCAGAGAGTCCCTAGCTAGTGGAATTATAAGATAAATTACATCTGGAGACTTTGCTTTTTAGTTCCTTCTATTATGACTATATTTTCTCAAGACAGGTTCATTTCCATATGAGATAATAATTTTTTTTTTTAGAAATAAACCAAAACAAGTTACTTACTTCTGTGTCTGTTTTAAATTAATTTTTCCCCAATGGCTGTACTATACATGTCTGCCTACACATCCCTAAATACCTATACATGTCTGTTTCTGGAGCGCATGAATGTTTTTACATGTGTATGAGTTTAAGTAAGTATGAAGTACCTTTCATTTTTAAGATTTGGGAAGAAATTAAAATTCCTTCTTCTTTTAAAATTAAAACTCTTTGTTAAGAATTTAAAATTTGGGAAGATTTGTAGAAATCTCTCAAAGCCTCTTAGGATGTGAGAAATCCGTTTCACCTTGTACCCCAATTTAAGTCTAGCACTGAGTCTTATTTTTGGTACAGAGGACTATGTTATTTTCTGCCAGTGCAGCTGCAGGTCCAAAATGAGAGCGCTCATTTCACCGGCAAGACGGGCACTTCCACAGGCTCCCCGTGCCTTCGGGCAGACCTAGGGTAGCGAGCATGTTTCGGGAATAGCTGGGAGACTAAAGTCTGCCTTTGTACAGTAAATACTTAAACCAGGTAGTGTTCTGTTTTTTTAATAGAGTCAAAGCTGTCCCAGGTTTAGTTTCACAAAGGACCTGGCCCCTTCTACTGTCAAAAAGTCAGGTTCACAGTTTGTAAGACGGGTCCTGGTACGTTAGTGATGGGACGTGAAACATGAGTTTGGAGCACGCTCCAAATTTAAATATCACACAGAGATCAGTTTACTCTGCCTGTGACTCTGAAGAAGGCCCACCCTCTTCCCTACTAAAAGTCCAATGCCTATTTTAAAGCTGTTTACTATACAAGATTAGAAACCTCTTTGTTCCTGTCTTCTCTCCTTGTCAGAATTTTTCCAAATTACTGCTGGGGTAGGAGAAGATGGAAGTTGAAGGCAGGACTCACGGCAAGAGGTCCGGCTCCAAGGGCAGGGTTGAGATACTGCTTCAAACTAGCACAGCTGAAAGCTCAGTATAAAGAATGGGTTCTGTGGTCTTCAGTTGCACTTCTGCACTAAGCTTTACAATATTAGCTTTATAACACAATATTGACTTGTTCATCTGTGAGAAAACAGACCAATTCCTCTACTGATCTGAGGAACCAAGCAAAGCAGCTCCTTAGGCTCCAAGTATTGCTTGACTTGTAATTGTACTTTTGCTTTAAAAGATATTCTTTTAAAAAGTCACCTCATCACCGTGTTTAAAAGGAAAAAAAATCTTGGTTCTTTTCTTGCTGCCAGCCTCACAGACTCACTCTGGGATTTAAAAGAAAAGCAGGAGCCTCTCCTGTGCAAAATCGGCATTAATAGAATTCTCTAAGCCCAAATATGCCTCCAGTGTCTCCTGAGCAATCCTCCAGATTGCAGCTCCCCCGCAACGTACCAACCTATGAAACCTCATCGTCACTCAAATAACTCAGATACTTTTGCACAACTCGGTTGAGAAAAACAGGGTTGTGCAACTACTACACCTGGGAGCACGTCACACACACTCCTACGTACATATTTGCAGGGTCAGCAACTTACAAATGAGTACTGAACAGAAATAACATATTTCATTGAATGAAATATTTAAATTGACTTTCCGTATTCATTTGAACTTCTGAGGATGACTCACTGGGGCAGTGCTGACTTCTGAAACTCTACTCGCTTCTGGAAACATATAGTTATGTTTCTAAAACATAAGTATAACTGTGAAGAAAACACTGCTCCACAGATGCTGCTTCTCACACATTCTGCCTGAGGATTTAGTTTTTGGGGAAGATGCATTTCACTCTCAGGTCATAGGATGATTTTTCAGGGTAAGCAGTTACAGAATTTAAATAAAATAGAATGAACTGGCCAAATCTGCTATTAAGTCATTGTATAACTCTAAATGAGACATTACCAAATAAGAATGAGTGAGGACCACTCTCTGGCCTTGAAGCCGGGCAGCATGGCCTGCTTCATATTTAGGTGTCTGAATTCTCTTTCCTTTTCCCCTCTAGGCAGTGGCCAGTGAGCTGCTCACTGGAAACCATTCTTGACAGTGAGTTGCATTCTGGATGGTGCCCAAGCATTGTCTGGAAAAGTATGAACTGGCAAAAGCCAAAACTGTGCCAGAGAGTGTGCTAATTATCAATCAGCACAGGCGATCACAGGCCAGTGTTCAGTCCTACGACCTGACCCTTTCTTACTCCCTAGTATAGACAGGGCCACCGAGGTCACGAAGACAGAGCTCAGAAGATGATAATTACAATTGCTCCAAAGCAGAAACTGAAGCTGAAAAATTTCATGTCTGAAACTGCTCCCTCCTTACAAAACCGCCTTTCACTACACCCGGTGTTGTAATTGTTGGGACTAAATATCTGCTTTATAGTTCTATTTCTGAACTTACAAAACCCAGCACCAGGTCCTTCATATTCCTGTATTCTAAGTGTAAAGGACTTCGGAGCGATTGGCACCTGCCCATTTTAGGCTGGCATTACATCCATTGTTTTCTTTTCATTGGAGTTCCTGGCTACCACAGGATCTGTGTTCAAAATTATGCAAATAAGCACGCTATATTGGAATGACACTGCCTGAATAAGCATTGGACCTGCTATGTAAAATTCACGGCTGCTCAGCAGCTTGAAGGAACACTTGTTTCAACTGAGAGAATCTGAAATAATTTCCTGAGGTGAATATTGCTTAAAGCAGTTCTTCCAAGTTTCCACTCTAGCCTGCTATCAGAGGGTAAAAGGATCAAAAGACATCACCTGCCTTGGGTTACATGAGGTTGAAGGATACCACATGGCTGTGTCAGGTTCCAGCCAGGAGTAAAAATAAACTAAACTGGGATATGCTCCTCAGCAGGGCCAAAGCATAGGAAAAAAGATGGGTTTTGTGTAACTAAAATTATTTTTTTTTCTGCCTGTTTTCATGTACCCATATATTACTGCCCAAAGATCTCAATTTTTTAAAGAATGTCCCAGTATCTGGTGTGTGTATGTACAGTTTCATTGTGGTCACAGGGCTGAACAACCAAATGTGGACAGCAACAATTCACCATTTTGGGGGAAAAGCAATACGGTGGGAAAGAGTAACCATCAGGAACCATGAGGACTATTGTTTCTGACCCTGTCTCTGCTCTCTCCCCTCAGCGTGAGTGCATCTCTATTCACGTTGGCCAGGCTGGAGTTCAGATAGGAAACGCGTGTTGGGAACTCTTCTGTCTGGAGCATGGCATTCAGCCAGATGGCACCTTCAAGGAACCGCATGATAAAGTCAACAATGATGACTCTTTCACCACATTTTTCAACGAAACAGTCACTGGGAAGCATGTGCCACGAGCTGTAATGGTGGACCTGGAACCAACCGTAGTAGGTCAGTATAGAAGTAAAGCTGGAAAATGCAGAAGAGCTTACTCTTCCTAATATCACCACGGTGTGCCACCAACCTCCACTGGTACAAAGCAGCACACCCTTTGTATCTTGATCTACCACTAGATAGCATAAAATTAATTTTATGCTAGAATGCTAGATTCTGTCAAGACTCAATATGATTCTATGATTCTGTCTCTATAGGTGTTACAGCAACAGCAGGATCGTTAGCAGTTTAACAGCTACTACCCATGGTTTGCATGACTTCTCTTTGCCAAAATATTTACATTTTAGTTTTGTTTATCCATTTTTGCCATTTGAATTCTGCTTTTCTCCTGTTTGGATCCAAAGTGTGAGCCTGACAGCTTCCCTCCAGGAACAGAAGAATTTCTAAAAACCAGGGTACCTGGGGATATTTGTCACACTTTTTTTCTGGTGACTTGCACTCTTGTCGGTACAGGCTGTACAACTGACAAGTTCTTTAGAAGATAACAACTTTCACGGCTGGATACAAGCCACATTATACATCAACAGAACGCAACAATTTAAAAATGCTTAGGAAACAGCTTTTCCTTCTCTGTCAGCACCTGGTTTTTTTTTTTTGCAGTCATGACCTCCAGTGACTGAAAGCTTGTGCCAACACTAACAGCTAACCAGAACTTGTTGGCACTGGAGCCCAGCCATGCAGCTTCTTAGATTTTCTCTTTTTCATTCAGATGAAGTGCGGGCTGGCATCTTCCGGGAACTTTTTCATCCAGAACAGCTGATCACTGGAAAGGAAGACGCAGCAAATAACTACGCCCGCGGCCACTACACCATCGGCAAAGAAAGCATTGATATGGTGCTTGATCGTGTCCGTAAGCTGGTAAGTCCCAGGAGTTCTAAACAGTGGTTTGGATTCTGCAGAAGAAAGAAGTGCAGAAGAGGTAGCTTGTTAAACACAAACGATACCAATGGTTTAGAAGAGATTGCAAGACATACAGAGGCATCATTGTTAGATCAAGAAAGAGAAGCCCAGTAGTTCACTTCCCAGCTGTACGCCTTCAGAGAGTCTTAAAAAGTGGTTGTGAATATGTAATTCTTCATTATTAGCATGGCCGTGGAGCACTAATACTGATATAGAAGAGTGGATTAGGCAATTCTATGTCGCTGGTTTCAGCTAGACTAACCAAAAGAAGTGTCAAGTTCAAAGAGAGAAGCTCCACAGACAAGAGTCCCATGTTTATATCAGAAGTTGAGTCAGTGAAGGAAGAAAAAGATAGGATTATAACCAGCACTTTCTCAAGAAAACCTGACATGAAAGCTGTGCTGTGTAATGCTGATGGCTGCTCTCTCCCTCAGCTCAGAATAAACTCAACCTAGTAGATGAAGTGCTTTCATTCCTCTTCAGCCCCTATTCTTTCACTTTTTCTTTGGCTTTCTAGACTGATGCCTGTTCTGGGCTGCAAGGATTCCTGATCTTCCACAGCTTTGGTGGAGGTACCGGCTCTGGCTTCACCTCCTTACTGATGGAACGCCTCTCCGTGGATTATGGAAAGAAGTCCAAACTGGAGTTTGCCATCTACCCAGCCCCTCAGGTCTCCACCGCTGTGGTGGAGCCTTACAATTCCATCCTGACCACGCACACCACCCTGGAGCATTCGGACTGTGCCTTCATGGTGGATAATGAGGCCATCTATGACATCTGCCGCCGAAACCTGGACATCGAGCGCCCCACTTACACTAACCTCAACCGCCTCATCAGCCAGATTGTCTCCTCCATCACCGCCTCGCTGCGCTTCGACGGTGCCCTCAATGTGGATCTGACGGAGTTCCAGACAAACCTGGTGCCCTACCCACGCATCCACTTCCCCTTAGTGACCTACGCCCCCATCATCTCCTCTGACAAGGCCTATCACGAGCAGGTCACGGTGGCTGAAATCACCAACTCCTGCTTTGAGCCCAACAACCAGATGGTGAAGTGTGACCCAAGACATGGGAAATACATGGCCTGCTGCATGCTCTACCGAGGTGATGTAGTTCCCAAAGACGTCAACGTAGCAATTGCTGCCATCAAGACCAAAAGAACTATCCAGTTTGTCGACTGGTGTCCAACAGGCTTTAAGGTGAGTAGGGCTGCCACGAGCTTCTCTTTCATGTTAAAGAAAGAAACAGGGGAGTTGGACCAGATGATCTCTAGAGGTCCCTTCCAACTCTGACAATTCCATGATTCCGTGAAAAGGGCAAGTTCAGTCTAGCAGAAAACTCAAATTTAAAGTTTTACATCTTGCATGTTTCGTGAGAAGAATGAACATAAGGAAGATGTGTTTGTATAAAATATGCTTTTTCTCCTTTGGACATCCCATTGCCACAGACCCCTAAGTATTTACATAAGTGGAAATCTGAAGTGTATATGAGTTAAAATTTAAAGAAGTCTTCAAAATTCAGACCTGAATTTTGAAAAAGCCAGTGCGTGTTCCCTCTGAAACATCATCTAAAACTAAGGAAATACCAAAACCAATACAATAAATAAAGGAAATGCTGTTATTAGGGAATCTGTCAGTTAACACCCCCATCCAGAAATATTATGCAACCTCTCCCCACTGGCTACACAGCAGTGTGAAGAAACATAATTTCAATAATAATACAGACAGTAGCAGTGGAAAAATATTTGTCATACAAATATCTGGTTTAAGAATGAAAACTTTTAACTGGGAACCAACTTTCTGAATTAATTTCTATAGAGTATTTTGGTGAAGCTGTATTTTCAGTGCTGAGTAGCTGTTAACAAAGCTGCCAGGGTACATTAAACAGAAGAATAATACAGACATTAAAATGACCATGTATCATACTGTTTATGACCTTTTTATTTGTTAAGACATTTACCATTTGGTAGGTTTGATAGTGGCACCACTCTACCCCAGCATCTGTAACTACTCACTTTTTTTTTCAGCTCTTTGACTGCTTTCTGCTCTTGCCTTTTTACAACCTTCTTTCATATTCTTGTTTCCAGGTGGGGATCAACTATCAGCCTCCTACAGTAGTCCCTGGCGGAGACCTAGCCCAGGTTCAGCGAGCAGTCTGCATGCTGAGCAACACCACGGCCATTGCAGAGGCTTGGGCAAGGCTTGACCACAAGTTTGATCTGATGTACGCCAAGAGAGCTTTCGTGCACTGGTATGTGGGTGAAGGCATGGAGGAAGGAGAATTTGCAGAGGCCCGAGAAGACCTGGCTGCCCTGGAGAAAGACTATGAGGAAGTGGGAACTGACTCATTTGAAGAAGAAAATGATGGGGAGGAATTTTAAAATACACTTTGTTCTCAGTGAGCACAGAATTGTCTGTGTATTGCACATGTCTAACATTAGGTCACCTTTTTTGTATGTAATATACAGAAATTTAAGAGGGGTCACAAAGAGACATCTTTTATTCTATAAATCTGAGATAAATCATGCTGTAAGATATGATTGGTTGCAGGAATACCCTACCACTCCCAGCAATGCAAAAAGACTTGGTCTTCTTCCTTGCACATTTAATGTAAGCCTCTTCAAGCTCTAATACACATGCTAAAACCACTATAATTCAATATATGCAAGCTTATCATGGAGCACAGTGAATCAGCAGAGTTTACAAAGTTCTAATTTGACATCCTGTCACAGTTTAGCCCCAGCCAGAAACTATGTACCACGCAGCCACTCGCTTATTCCTCCCCTCTGCTGGGATAAATTGGAAGAAAGAGGTAAAACTCCTGGGTTGGGATAAAGACAGTTTGACAAAACTGCAAAAGAAGAGAAAAATAATAACAATAATACTGACAAAAGAATAAACAAAGCGAGTGGTACACAGCACAATTGCTCCCCATCTGGAACCTGATGCCTTGCCCATTCCTGAGTGGTGATCCCTGTCCCCCTGGCCAACTTCCCCAGTTATATACTGAGCATGATGTCACATGGCATCAAATATTCCCTTGGCCAGCTTGGGTCAGCCACCCTGGCTGTGCCCCCTCCCAGTTTCTTGAGAAAATTAACTCTCAGCTGAAAGCAGGCCATTATCCAAACTTTATTCTATACCATCCATGTCATGCCCAGATCCTACATTCTCCAATTAATCACTGCCACTTTTCTTGTCTTTTTATGTATATACACACACACACAGAGGTATCATTCCCTTAGTCTATGGGCCATCCCTCTAAAATGTCCGTTGAGTTCATTTAATCTATCACTTTTGGGCTCCATCTTTCACAAGGGCAGGAAAGATGGTGTGTGTGGTGTTGGATCGTTGGATGCTGCATCCAGAGCTCACGGCTGGTGTATCTGGCATGGCCCATGCCCATGGTCCCAGGGCTGAAGATGTTGTTCTCAAGGCAGCTGCTGGGTGCCAGCTACTGAAGCCAGTTCTAGTTTCATCACAGCTGCACTTTGCTCAGTTTCATCAAAGTTGACCCTTCATTAGTTTGGGTGAGTCTTACTGTAGTACCACTGATAGGGCATCTAGCAACTGTAGTAGTGATGACATATAGTTGGCAGGGTTTTTTTAGCAATTAACTTCATACAATTTAATCTATTGGCTATTCTCACCCAAAATCAAATCCCCTTGAGGTACACATTGGACTTGCCCATCCTTCCACATCACCCACAAAGTGCACTCAAGTCCTTGAGCAAAAACAGTCCTGCGGATGGGTTTGCCTTTGCCTGGGACAGGATTAAGACAGACAGTCTTCCCTAGTATATTCTTCATGTGCACTACAGAGACTTTATCTCCTTCTACAGCACGTGGAAGCTTTGATTGGGCAGGGCCAGCTCAACTGGCAGATCCCCTGGTGTTAACTAACCAGGTGGCTTTGGCTAAATGTGTATCCCAATCTTTTAAGGTCCCTTCACCCATTGTTCTCAGGGTAGTTTTTAACAGTCCATTGTATCCTTCGATTTCCTCAGCAGCTGGTGCACGGCAGGAGATGTGATATACCCACTCAATGCCATACTCTTTGGCCCAGGTGTCTATGAGGCTGTTTCGGAAGTGAGTCCCATCACCTAACTCAATTCTCTCCAGGGTGCTGTGACACCATAAGACTTGCTTTTCGAGGCCCAGGATAGTGTTCTGGGTGGTGGCACGGGGCACAGGGTATGTTTCCATTCATCTGGTGGTTGCTTCCACCACTGTGAGCACATGGCACTTGCCCTGGCATGTTTGTGGGAGTGTAATGTAATCGATTTGCCAGGCCTCCCCCATATTTATGTTTCAGCCATCATCCTCCATACCAGAGAGGCTTTAACCACTTGGCTTGCTTGATTGCTGTGTATATTTCACATTCGTGGATAACCTGTGCAACAGGCTATGCCAGGTATGGAATATTCCTTTAGCCAGCTTGTCCTCTCTGTGCTCCCTCTCAGCTTCTATGGGAAGCTGAAAAAATCCTTGACTGACATAAACATTACTTAGCAGCAACTAAAGCACTATGTGTTACCAACGCTCCTCAACACTCTTCTCATACCACATCCAAAACACAGCAGCTACTAGAAAGAAAATTAACTCTATCCCAGCTGAAACCAGAACAGCACTACAATTTTTCCACGTTTGGGGGGATAAACATCTGTGTTGTGAAAACAAATATCCTTTGTGGTTGGGTACAGCTGCAGCAGGCATAAGAATGTCTTTTCTGTGTCTCTGTGAAACTCTTTAAATGAGCAAATTATCTCCTTTCTACCCCCCCCCCCCCCCATTGTTTTTCCCTGTGATTAATCCATCTAAAGTGCTCCTCTGCGCGTAGCCAAGGGCAACGTAAGAAAGAAGCGGTTTGAGCTTTGTGGGGCTTTTTTTTTTTTTTTTTTTTCCCCCCCCCCCCCCTTTTTTTTTTTTGCATCATCCCTATTGAAAACATTTCAGTATTCCTTACTCTCCCTGAATGGTTCTTCCTCTGCAAGAAGCAGCCTCTGCTTTATCCAGCAGACCACTGTGTCCTCTGTGGTAATCTTTATTTAGTGTACCATGTGCAACACAGGCATTTGAATGTTCACTCAAAGATAATTCAAAGTTGTGATCAAACATCTCAGATTTATAGGACTCGCATCTTGCTAGGCAACGACAATTTTTCTTGACTAGGAAACTCCTCAGCAGCTTTTTATCTAGGTCTAGGTCCCTGAAGGAATGCACCCACGAGTGCTGAGGCAGCTGGCAGATGTGATTGCAATGCCACACTTGATAATCTTTGATTGATCATGGTGATTGGGAGAAATGCCCAAAGACTGGAGGAAAGCGAATGTCACTGCTGTCTTCAAAAAGGGCAAGAAGGAGGGCCTAGGGAACCACGGGCTGGTCAGTCTCACCTCAATCCCTGGGAAGGTGATGAAGTAGCTAATCCTGGAAACCATTTCCAGGCACATGAACAAGAAGAAAATCATCAGGAGTACTCAGAAGGGATTCACCAATGGAAAGGCATGCTTCACCAACTTGATGACCTCCTATGATGAAACAACTGGCCTGGCAGACAGGGGAGAGCAGTAGATACCATCTACCTAGACTTGAATAAGGCTTTCAACACTGTTTCCCATAAGATCGTCACAGAGTAGCTGCTGAAGTATGGGCTGAATGAGCAGACAGTGAGATGGACTGAAAACTGGCTGAATGGCCAGACCCAGAGGGTGCTGATCAGTGGTACAAAGTCCAGTTGGAGGCCATTAACTAGCCGTACCCCACAGTCAATACTGGATCCAGTCCTGTTCAACACCTTCATTAATGATCTGGGTGATGGTGCGGAGTGTATCCTCAGGAAGTTTGCAGATGACACAAAACTGGGAGGAGTGGCTGACACACCAGAGAGTTGTGGTGCCATCCAGAGGCAGTGCTCAGGCTCAACAGGCTGGAGAAACGGTTTGACAGGAACCTCAACAAGTTCAACAAGGGCAAGTGCAATGTCCTGCACCTGGGGGGGGAGGAACAACCCTATACACTAATATATGCTAAGCACCACCCAGTTGGAAAGCAGCTTTGCAAAAAATTACCTGGAGTCCTGGTGGACATCAAGTTGAACATAAGCCAGCAATGTGCCCTTGCTGGAAAGATAGTGAATGGTACCCTGGACTGCATTAAAAAAAAGATCATAGAATATCTCAAGTTGGAAAGGACCCATAAGGATCATCAAGTCCAACTCCCTCCCATCCCATCAAGACTTCTCAGGACTACCCGAAACTAACTCATATGACTAAGACCGTCATTCAGACACTCCTTGAACTCTGACAGGCTTGGTGCCATGACCACTCCCTTGGGAGCCTGTTCCAGTGACCAACCACCCTCTCAGTGAAGAAACCGTTTCCTAATGTCCAGTCTGAACTTCCTGTGATGTAGCTTCATTCCATTTCCTCATGTTCTATAGCTGGCCACCAGAGAGATCAGCACCTCTCCTTCTGCTGCCCCCCCTCAAGGAAGTTGTAAACTGCGATGAGGTCAACCCTCAGCTTCCTCGTCTCCAAGCGGAGCAAACAAAGTGACCTCAGCCACTCCTTGTAAGTCTTGCCCTGGAGACCTTTCACCATCTTGGTCTCTCTCCTCTGGACACACTCTAATATTTTGATGTCCTCCTTATATTGACATGCCCAAAACTACACACAGTACTGAAGGTGGGGCCACACCAGTACTGTGTAGAGTGGAAGAATCACCTCCCTTGACAGGCTAGCTACGGTGTGCTTAGGGAGCTCAAAGGAGATGGTTCTTCCAACTCCACTCAGCACTGGTGAGGCCAGACCTGGAGTACTATGTCCAGTTCCGGACTTCTCAGAACAGGAGAGGCATGGACATAGTGGATAAAGTATGTCTTCCCTCACAGTTTTGTCCTGAATTGGGACCAAAACCAGAAACTGGAAGTTTCATACATAAAACATATTTATGTGTGCACACTGAGAAATGACCCTGCTCTTCCAGTGAGAGAGGAGAAATAAGGGGCAAGTTAAAGACAAAAAAGGTGACAAAAAATGGCAGATGAATTGCTTGCTATGTTCCTTGCAAAGCTGCTGAAAGCAAGGCAATGAAGAAGTGGAAGTTATTGATCCAGTGTGGAGTACTTTATGCATTCTAAAAAACTGGGTGGTGAGTTCCTAACTTCCTGAAAGCTTTTTAAATCTTGTCCTGATCATCAATGTTATGGTTTATTTTCTTTGTAAGGACACTCAGCATCCTGGTTTCAGCTAGGATAGGGTTAATTTCCAAGGGGACACAGCCTGGGCAGCTGACCCAAGCTGGCCTAGGGGATAGTTAATACCATGCTCAGTATAAAAGGGGGGGAGCTGGCTGGGGGGTGGGAATCACTGCCAGGGAGCATTGGGTGATGAGCAAAATTGTACTGTGTATTACTCGCTCTGTGTATTCTTTTACCGGTATTATTGTTGCTGTTTTCTTCTTTCCTTTGCAGTTCTGTTAAACTACCTTTATCCCAGCCCACAAGTTTTGACTTTTTCTTCCGATTCTCCCCCCATCGCACCAGGTTGAAGGGGGGAGGAGGAGTGAGGGAGCAGCCAAGTTTGTTGCCATCTGGGGCTAAACCATGACACTTAGGATGAAGGATCCCTGTTCTTGCAGTTGTCAATGAGCTCTTTGGAATGGTTTGGAGATTACTTTAGAAGCCCTGTGGCAGTTACCAGCAGCTATCAGCTTTTGTCAAAGTGACACTACACCACGACGCCCAGCGGGCTGTGTATTTGGACACCCAAACACTGAATCATTCAGTTTTAGCCATCCCTTCACCTCAGCACGCTTTCTGAGCTTAGGCTTCTGCCCGTTACCCATTTTGGAAGTGGGGTGCCATAACAGATATCCACAGGCAAGGCTTAAAATATTCTTAAATAAGACAAATTCTCCTCTTAATTGAGCTCGCAAGCTCTCACAGGGGTCATTACCAAAAGCCGCTTTGGCCGCACGCTGCTTCCCTAGCTTCCACAGACTGTCAGACCGGGTTCCTGTTTAATCTCCAGTGTCGGTTTGCACTTTGCTCGGGTGGTTTAACTGTCTCTAGGCAACTTCTGGCTTAGCAGTTCTCCTATCTCTCTTCCTCCCTTCTATCAGGCGGAGAGCACACACGCTAGCAATCGGAAAGGGGACATCACTAAATTTAAACCCTTGCCAAGAGGGTCACAGCAAAGATGCTGTACCCTTCTGCTCACCAGTCTCTACAGATATCCATACCAGTCTCCATGTGACAATTCAGGACACTTTTCACTGCCGCTGCTGCCTTGGTTGAAGAGCTCTGAACTAGCAGGCAGCTGTGCTGCCTCCAACAGAGCCAGATCCTCCATAACCTGCCCAGTGGGTATGCAACGGGTATGTCTTCTGTGGAGACTGCAACAAGGACAGCTCTGATGGGCTCCAGGCAACCTCTCTGAAAGCCTCCTGTGCGCTGTCTCCTTCCCATGGTTCAGGGAAGAACCTGCACTGAGGTACCCGACACAGGGCAGGGAGCACATGCTGTCCTCACCTGTGCTAACAGAAGAGCTGAGGACAGTTTAGCCTCTCTCCGTAATGAATCCATGTCAGAGTAGCTCTTCCCCCAGAAGATGCACCCAAAAAGATCTGTGTTCCATGACAAAGGGGAGGCAGTGAACATCCTGGGCATGTTTAGTTTGGAGAAGAGGAGGCTGAGGGGGGACCTCATTGCCCTCTACAACTACGTGAAAGGAGGGTGTAGAGAGGTGGGTGCTGGCCTCTTCTCCCAAGGGAATAATGACAGGAGCAGAGGAAATGGTCTGAAGTTGGGGCAGGGGGGGGTTAGTTTAGATCTCGGGAAGAATTACTTTACTGAGAGAGTGGTCAGGCACTGGAACAGCCTGCCCAGGGAGGTGGTGGAGTCCCCATCCCTGGAGGGATTTAAGAAACGTGTAGACATGGCACTTCAGGGCATGCTCTAGTCCCCAGGATTGTTGGCTTGTGTCTGTCTGTCTGTGGGTGGGTGTGGGTCTGTGGGGTTTTTTGTTTGTTTGTTTGTTTCTGGTTTTGTTTTGTTTATTTGTGGTTGGACTCAATGATTTCAAAGGTCCCTTCCAACCATGAATATTGTGTGATCCCTTCCCATCATGCATTCATCCTCCTCCAGAGACATGGAGTCTCCTAGCCACTCCCTCATGGCACTTACTTTTTAGTTCAGGGTGCAACGGGAACAAACAGTACGTTAATAGTAAGAACACATGTCACATAATGTCTCGTAGAGCATCTTTGCTGCAGAAATATTATCACAGATTTCCACATTCAACTCCTAAATTGCCTCTATAACTGCTAAATGTCTGTGTAATACAGGAAGGAGACGGCAAGTCAGGGCTATGTTAGGCTCTGTTTTTTTTCCCCACACCTGTTTTTTCTGTAACATTCCTTGAATTTAGTAACTTAGTAAGACAACAGCTGAAGGCTTCTGCACAGCACATGTGAATCCAGTTTGTTAGCAGCTCATACAAGGGGCTTGTCTGAGGGGTAAATGGGTGCCCCAAAGACACCAGTGAGCCTCTAGGGAGCAAAGAAAGGGAGACAGAAGCCACCAGGAACTCTGCACAGCCTGTGGAAACCGCAACACCTTTCCTCTCACGAACCCCTCATGTCCTGTTAAACCAATCCTACAGGCAGAAATGAAGGGTTTAGGGTTTGAACCTGTCCCTGGGATCCGTCTGGTTGCAGCTGCAAGGGAACGACATGGTGTCTCTGACTCAGCTGGAGCTCCTGCATAAGAAGTAGGCAGGTGTGCCCTGTCAAATCACACAGGGACTCTTGCTTTTGTGGTCCCAGAGACTCAGTCTGTTTCACACACATATCAGGACCTCCTACGTCACCCGCACCATTTCCTTGGTCAGCAGAGATCTGCAGGGCAGCATCACTTACCTTAAAACTCTCCTGTCTCCTCAAGTGGAACAAAGCTGGGCCAGCGGCCATCCTCTGACAAGCCAAGCTCCTCTACAGGATGCTGCACCCCTCCGTTCCTCCTGCAGACACCCAGGAATGAGGCAAAGGGGGAAGCCTGGAAACCCAACATTCACGCTGGAGAAGCGGCCACCCAAGCATTTCTGCTCATCCAGACATAGGTGACTCGTTGAGGTCTAAAATCTCACAGCTTGGGTCAGCACAGGTGTATTTATTTGCCTCTGTACTGCCATTCGTATATCCTGCTGCACACCACGGCTCGCTGTCAGGTGGGAAACTGCTGTGCCTTTCAGTTTGCCATGTGGGTTTAAGTTTCTAAGTGAGTTACTTATTTGGGGTTATTTTAAACGAGCGATTTCTTGCTTCTAGGTAGGCTACTGTAGGCCTTGACAAGAGTTCAGTTTCTCAGTTGCTTTGGTGGTTAAACCCCACAAACGTCAGACTGAAGACACGTCTGCTTCTGAGAGGTAACAACCAACCACGTGAAGTCCAGGCAAAAACCCTGAGGGACTGCCTCTGTCAAAGAAGAGGTAGGCTGTTTTGTTTTTTCTGCAGTTTTTCAATTTCTCAACCCGGCCTTTAAAGCTCACTCTTGCCTCTGCCCAGAAGAAACCAGACTGAACCAGGTGGAGGTGTTGGAGCGTGGCAGGGCCACCTAACTGCCTTCCCCCAGTGGGGTGGCTATTAAAGGAGAAGCCACTGCCAGAGCATTCACACACCATTCATGGTGTTGCACACACACAATCCCCGGCATTGCTTCCTCCTCCTCCAGGCTTGACACTAGGTTTCCCGCAGCAGAGTCTCAGATGTCAGGGTTCATAAAATAATGAATTTAATTGAAAGGTACGGGAGGCAAGAACAGCCTGGGCTGGGTGCCTCCAGAGGGACCCTGAACGAAGAAATCCCTGGACAATTACACCCTTGTGATCCATACACCTGCCCTGCATGTGCTGTCCACGCATCTTTCAGTCCAACGATGATTTTTGGGCTGAGGTCTTCTAACATCTAATTGGATTCTTTTTCTGCGTGCAGGCAGGCAGGCCCTTAACTTGTTGATTTGCAGTTTATGTCAAGGGTTGGAGCCTCTGTATCTTCTGGTTCATGTTCCATGTGCATCTGTCCTTGTTGGAAGAACATGGGGAACCCAAAAGTCCCAGGCTTGAGAGAAAGACTACCGAAAGGCTGCCCAGGGAGGGTGTGGAGCCTCCTTCTTTGGGGATTTTCAAGCCCTGCCTGGATGCTGTCCTGAGTGATGTGCTCTGGGCAACTCTGCTTTAGCAGGGGGTTGGACTAGATGATCTCTAGAGGTCCCTTCCAACTCTGACAATTCTGTGATTCTGTGAAACATTAGTATGATATCCAGTACTTTCCCATCTGAAAAGATTAAACAACACTGTCCCATCTGCTAGGAAAAGTGCCGAGAAGAACAGCTCTCTCATGGCCTAAAGGTTTCAGCAAATCTAGCTACTCATGCCAAGTCGAGCCAAGCAAGCAGCAGGGATCACACCAAATCATAATTTGGGCCCTGCACTAATTACAAGCCGCGGTGTTAGCACAGCTCATCCCGGCAGAGACAAGCAGGCAGCCCCTCAGCAAAAAAACGGGGAGGGCTAATGGCAGCTGGGCCGCCCTGCCCTGAGGAGAAGCCCACAGGCCGGCAGCGGCGGGGGCCAGGGCGGCGTGAGGCGAGGCCCATGGGGCCGCCCGTGGCGGAGCGGAGTTTCGCTTTCTCTTCCCGGGCTCGGGCGGAGCGGGAAACGAAAACTAAAAGGCGGTGCGGGCGCTGCTGCCGCCCTCTGACGCGACCGGCGAGGCAAAGCCCCGCTCCGCCCGGCGGCACCTCCGCGGGTGGCAGCGGCTGAGCCGGCACGCCGGACTGAGGGAAGCTCGGCGGGACCGCAGGGGAACCGCGGTGCCGGGTAGACCTGGTGTCCGAGGGCCCACCCGCGGGTGGGGTGCGACCCCGAGTGCCGCCGAGGCTCGAAGCGCTCCGGATCCTGCGGGAGTTGGTAAGAAATCCTCCCTTTTTTTTTTTTGTTTTTTAACCTGCTTGTCAGAATAGGAGAAGCCAGAGCCACAGTGCAGCGGGGCGGGGGGAAAAGCGGGAAAATTGGGAGCCGAACAAATGCGTAGTGTGACGGCCAGGTGGGAAGTCTCGCTTCAGTTGTATCTGAGAAAAGCGTGGAGGCGAAGGGCTCGCATCCCCATGGCCGCCCTTTTGGGGAGCTCCTCAGGGCTGCCGTCCTCTCCCCAGGGCCACAGCCTCGCAGCCCACCTCCTGCCCCGGCGCCATCACCCTCGGCCACCTGCTCCCCGACGCACCTGTGAGGGGAGAGGAGCGATGGCGGAGGGGAGGAGGTGGTAAGGCGCCCAGTTGGTGGCCTTCCTCAGGCGGAGGGGGTGCTTCGGGGGCTGTGGTACAAGGGTGCGAGGGGACAGTTGGGGGTTTGTCTCGAGAGGGCGGATGGGCTATGGAGCGGGGCAGGGTGGAAGGGAGGCCGCGGGGCTGGCTGAGGGAGGGCGGGCAAGGGGGTAGCTGGTTATGGGGTTGGGGTTACAAGGAGGCTGTGGTTGCTATCCTGTCTCTGCCAAGTGCTGGCGTGGTCCCTTGGCTCGGCCAAAGTTCCCGCGTTGAGGGAGCAGTAACCGAGTCGCAGCCATGACCTGCAAAAGAAACCGAGAAAGAGTCCCAGCTCCTCCAGTGAGAGTGGAGAAATGGGGGGCGAGAGGAGAGCCTGCTCCTCAGCTCCTGTGCTCCCTCACCAGGTTTTGGTTTGTTTTTTTTAATACGTTTATGCAGGGAAAAGGAGGTCATTTGCAAACCTTAGGAATGCTTTATTACTCATAGCCAAAACGAGGCAGTTTTATGCGAAGGAAAGTTGTGTTTGCGTCCCTGTTCCCTCACTGGAGTTCCTGCCAGTAGTTTCTGGGGTAGAGTTTCATCAAACCGGAGACCCAAGTCCTCCCATCTCAGTATCCCCCTGCACCTTCCCGCCCTAATGTCTTTCTACCCGTTTCTCAAATCACCCGAAGCCTTTTAGCCTTCAGCTTGGTCTTTCATCCCATCCTTAATCCTACTTCTCCTCCCAAAAGCTGTGTCTTGCAAGTTCCCCTCATTCCCAGTACATCCCTAGCTGTTGTTTAGCCACCTCTACTCTGCATCTCCCCCTCCTTTCTGTCTCCTTTGGCATCCCCGCTGGCTGTGAGCATTACTTACCTTCTGGCTGATATTACACCAACTAAACCCAGTTTCTCTCCCCGTACAAACAAAAATGGGCTCTCAGTCTGGCTGGGCTTTCAGAAGCCTGAATGCCCAGTTAAATTAATTCCCGGGGAAGGAGCATTGTGAGTTCGGACCCTGTTTTGCCAAGGAAGAAATCGAGCCCGATTTCTCTTTTCCTGAGTAGGTGTTCTAATCACTGGGTTTGGATATAAAAAGCAATATTCTTGTGACTGTCTTTGAATGCCTGAGGGTTTCTTTTTAATTTTTTTCCAAATAAAACTCCTCAGCAAATTTGACAGTGTTTAGTGAATCTGGGTATATGACGCTGAGTTCAAAAGTAAACTTCAACAGTAAAGAATCGAAAGTACAGTTGGGGAAAAAATATACTTAAGCTTAAAAGTAATAAGTGGGAAAAAACCCCTCCGTTTTCTGGTTTCCCTGCCTGATAAGTTCTTCAGAAACGTAGATATTTAGCATTATTAGGCAGAGTTAACATGAAAAATAGCAGGCTTTTAAAGCAAAGATTTTCTATTTGTACAAGGCAGAACCAGTTTTTTTTTATTATTTTCCTTTCTTGGTAGCTTTTCTTCATTCTTTCAGCACCTGGCCTCAGATTCATTTTACAAGCTGTTTAATATTTGTAAAATAACAATTTCTGAGCATTTGTTTTCTATTTTCTTTCCCCTCTGTGAATACATCCCTAAGCCTATACTTTTTTTCTGATTCTGCCTCCCTGTTGGAGGTGGGCTTTTAAAAGGGTTCAGTTTTGTGTAATTGCATTAGAGCCTTTGTCACATTGTTTTGCTTGCAGATTTTTGCTTTGCTTTAGTTTGGTGATTCTTTTAAAGTTTTATTTAAAGAGCCAGCAGCTGAGTCATAAGAGTCTGACAGACTAATGGTCTGTTCAATACTCCCTTGAAAATCAATGCATTATAACGGTTCTCTTGCTTAAACAGTTGCTTTGCTTGTGATCACTTGATGGAGCACAGAAAGAAACTGATATTTAGTTTCTTAAATGCCTTTAAAAATTACAGTCGAAAGTGCTGTAGTAGAGCTGTGACTAAGTTGCTTAAAAACAATGCAGAGAGGCCAGTACAGAAAACAAACAAATGCTTATCAGCTCAAAAGTCTAGAGAAGGTGAAATTTGCCCTTTTGAACCCTCGGGAAAGTTTGGGTGATAAAGCATTACTTTTACTACACAGAGGGCTTTAGCAACAGCTGCCATTTGGACAATTTCAATCATATTATTTACCAAGTCTTCTTGAACAGGGATATCTGGAGTTGCCTGGTGAGGTGAAGCTGTTTCTCTGGAGCCAAAGGTTCATTTGCTTATTTAGCCAGAAAAGGAAGACAGGGTGTGCAATTGCCATCCATCTCCATGTCTGTTACCTTGCCATCTGCCAGCACACCTACAATACCCATGTTAAGTGAAATATACCCAATGCTGGTCACAGTAATTTTACTCATGTTATTGACATTCTGCTGTTCATAATGAAAATATCAAAGACAAATCCTGTGTTTCTGGGGTGCTCCCCATCTTACTGATCTTTCTGTGCCTTTCTACAGTCCTTCTGTCTTTGTGCAATATTGTTGATGGGACAAAGAAGTGGACGTCAAGAAAGAAGCAAGAAACTGGAGCTGGCACTAAGTGAGACCATGAAGGCAGAAACAGAAGTACAAAATAATAAAGATGAAGTCAAAGAGCCAAAGGCCAAAGACTGGAGGCTAACATCAGTCTTTGGGGTGGCAGATTTAAAAAATGGTAATAATGTTTTGTCTGTTCTTCACTCTCCTTTTTTCTGTTTCTAATACCTGCTCTTCCAGTCTCTGTTGTTAGGCTTCTTTTTCTCCTATTCTTTGCCCCTTCACTGAGGAATATATAGACAATTCTCATTTTGCCCTGCTAAGTAACCATTTTGGGTTTTGGGGAAGGGATTACATGAGGATCTCAGAGCTTTTTCCCCTTTTAAGTCCTTAAATTGGCCATTGCAGCCAAAAAGGTCTAGATGCTAGCCCTGTCTCTTTCCAAACACAGCCAGTGTTGCTTCTGGATTTGCTAAACCATGGACTACGTGCAAGATGAGTTTGCCACTTGCAAATAATTTTCAGTTTCATTTTTTGTACCTATCTCTAGGCCTCACATCCTCTTTTTCCGTCCCTACAGGAGCTATTGGACTGTACAACATTGGACAGAGCTGCTGTCTGAACTCTCTGCTCCAAGTGTTCCTCATGAATATACACTTCACAGGGATACTTCGAAGGTACCACTTTCAACCACATTGGAACTTTCTGAGATACTTGCATTTTTGCTCTGTTGTCTCCACTCCTTTTTTTTTTTTTTATATGGGATGTACATTTGAAGGCTTGGATCAGCAAGGTGCTTTCAGCTCACTCAGGAAGGTCTCTCTGCCTTGTTGTGTCTGTCATGTACAGACAAGGGCCTGCAAAGGTAGAAGTTGCAATGTTCTGACTTGGTAGTCATCTCTGATTCATGTGCCGCTTGCACACCAGTAAGCTGCAGTCTGCAACTGGGTCTTTATGACTCGTATCTCTGTCGTGGTATCTCTCTTTTCTGTAACAGGATGGGATTTTATTACAGGTATACTCAGGGGCTCTTATAACTAAAGGATGTGTCATGTGTAACTATATCCACTATTAATTTTGTAACTTTAGGCATGTAAACATAAACATATTGTAATCCATAGCTTCTGGCCCCTGATTGTTCTGGCTAGCACCTGATAGTGAAGAATAAGTGTTGTTGCAGATAGCGAATACATAGTGTTATTTTGTTTTGCTTGACTGGGCTCTCTACTTTTTTGTGAGGTGGATTTGGGCTTCTTCCTCCCTACCAGCCACGCTAATGACTGGTTTGATTTGTTTTCAGTTTACTCAGTTCACTGCAGCTTTAATCATCTAAGCTATCACTCCTATTCAGTCCTCCATTTTCCAAATTTCTTACGCGCTCACCGGTGTGCAGAGGGGGAAGAAGGCATATTACAGACATGCAGAGAGGAGAAGTGTCATAAATGGGCAAGGCTAAATAATGTAGACAATGGGTTACCATTGTTATGGTTAAATCTTAAGAAAGATTTAGAAAAACCTGTTGACTGCAATACATTTAGGGAGGATAAAGAGCTTTCCAGTTGGTATATAGTTGAAATAAAAGCATTATGATATACGTGCCCGTGAGGTCTTGAGGGTATATCAAGAATGAAAGCATGAACAGGTAGGAGGCAAGAACAGGTCTGAAACTGGCTGGGACCTGTGGAACTGGCTGGGAACTTTCTAGAGTTCAGAAAGCACTTCAGGTCCTCCTGGGTTTGCCCCCTATTCAGAAACAGGCCAACTTCAAATTGCAGCCTTTTACTTTAGAGCTATCAGCCTGCACTGTGGGATAGTGCAGGCGTCTGCTTCACCTTTTTCCTTCTTTTGCCGAAAACATGCCTGTTCTGATTTCTGAGTTCCTCTCTGTGCTATCCACCTCTGCTCCTTCAGATGAGTTATCTAATATTTCTCCATTGTCCTGCTTGATTACCATTCATGTTGCTTCTTCTCTTTGTAGGATCACAGTGCCACCATACGATAGCGAGAAGAGTAGGAATGTCCCATACCAGATGCTCCTGCTGTTGGAGAAGATGCAGCGTGGCAAGCAGAAAGCTGTTTTTCCCAAAGACCTCGCTTGCTGTCTTTTAGCATACAAAGTGAAACGTAAGCAGCGCTGCCTCATGCCCAGCTCTGTCTGCAGACCAGGGGTGCTAATTATCAAGCACTAACAAGCAGTGCAGGCTCTCATTCCGACATCTCATTCAAAGATTCAGAAAAGCGAGGAGTTGGGTACACGATGATGTAGTGCTCTTTATAGCTGCCTTCTGCTTGTGAGTGAGATGCTGTGTCTTACTTATGAAGAGAGGGGATAAAAAGGCCCTGCCAGATGTCCTTGCTGATGTCCAAAGGGTGGGAAGACACTCAGATTGCTAGGACACTCAGCTACTGATGCTGGTCAGAGGGAAAGAGCTGTGCGGGACAGAGAGAGGCCATATTACAGCTCAGTTTGTCTTGCTATACTGTCACTTATGATCAAGCATAAAGGTAGTCCAGAAATATCAAGATTTTGCTAAACTATGTGTAATTTTTGCCCAGTTTGTAAATCTTGAGTTCATCGTGGGCTGAGAACATCAGTTACTCACATTCAAGGATGTGGATTTCTTTTTCCCCCTAAATTCAATCTTGAAGCAATTCTCTGCTGAGCCGTTCTAAGCAAGCTGTGCACTGAGCTGTATCCCACCATCTTAGGTTTCTTAATATCCCAGTTTAGCCAGACTGGAAAGCCAAAGCATAATGTTACTACATCATCCTTGGCTTCCTGTGCTGAAACTGTGTGCTTTTTCCCTGGGTAGGGATCAAGGGATTTATACCATTCTGTGGATGGGACATATGGATAGCCCTCCCTATCATTTTTATCTCAGGGCTCAGGAATGTTACAGCCTTAGCTAAGGGGATGGGGAGGCAAGTCTGTGGAGTAATGAAGGTAAAAAAGAGAACAGAATCTTCCCTGTTTTATTTCTAAGGACTCAAACAAATGCAACCCTCAACTCAATGAGACATCTGAGCCCTATGCTCCAGTAGGCATTGGGTAAACTCTTGGCCCTGCGTCTGGTGACGAGGACATGACTTTTGCACTGGGTTGTACCATGAGGCACTGAAGCCCTCCATGGAGATCACACATTCTAGCTCATCTCCAGCCTAAGCTCTGTCCCTGGCGAAGAGTGGCAAAGGAATGAGAGGCTGGGCTAATGGGGGTCAATAAATCTCTCTTTGCCATCTGTGGGAAGTCTGTGCCTGGTGCTGTTCATAATAATGATTGAGGTTGTGTTTTCTGTTTGTCCAGTGTTTGTGCAGCATGATGCTGCCCAGCTCTTTCTGACTCTCTGGAACTTGATAAAGAAGCAGATGAGAAGGCCAGAGCTGGTAAGGATGGTCACTGAAATGAATGCCAGGTCCTCTGGCCCTTGTTGTGTGTTGTCCTCTGCTTCTTGAAGAAGAATCCCATTCACTGACAATTGTCCTATATGAAATTCTTAAAATGATGCCCTATTTGGATCTTTCCTTGCATTTTCCAAATGGGAGAGGGAATCTTGATTTCATAGGCTTCAACATTTTGAATCACAGTTAACTTTTGTTCATCCTACTTTTAGGGCCTGCCAGGGTCTCCCTTCTAATTGGAAAGTTGATTAGTAACAATGAGACTGACCTTCTTACAACATTGAATTTAGTTACCTTGCATTTGTTTTTTCCCCAAATTTCTTTAAGCATTTATTGGCACATCTTGACACAGCTCCTCCATTCTTTGAAGTCAGCCATGTGCATATCATTATAATTAGTCACTGTTAGTATGTTACGTATATGATGGTTCCTCCCAGGGGAGCTGTGTAAGGTGGGAGGAAAGTGACTCTTCCTCACTCACTGTCATAGTTTTATTCATAAAGAAGACAGGTTCCTGTTGCCGTTTCAAAAAACCCAATAAAATTCTGCATCAAAGCAGACGTTTAACTGTCTGATCTTGTGATAGGCCATGTCTTTCTTCAAGGGGATGAGGGGAAGAAGTTGCTCTCCTTTAAATGGTGGGAAGTGCCCTGTCCACACAAGTCAATGTCAGATCTGGGTTCAAGCCTTAAAGCAGTAACATTGGGTGAAGTAACATGTCCAGGTGGGCTTTCCCACCCACAGAGGGAAATACCTCAGCTATGTTCTTTGTGAACCTTGTTTTGGCCTTCTTTTACCCCTCCAGGTCAGAGAGCTATGTTACTTGTACACTATCGGTATACAGGAGCACCTGGTCTGTCAGAAATGCTCTCTTGAAACAAGGAGGAACAGCAGCATGTTAACCCTTCCACTCCCAGTGTTGGATGCTGATTGTTACATGCTGAAGTCTCTGGTAAGTTCAGTGGCAGCACTATTTCCTTAGGAAGAAGATTCCCCTCTGTTAACTGTGGGAGCCTTCTTGCAGCACTGGTGTCTCCTGGGACTCACCTCGAATCTCTGCAGTGTGTCTGGGGCTGGGAGGGGATTTTTCTCCTTCACCTTTCTTCTTGGTTTTGAGGGGTTCTAAATTTCTCAAAAAAATTGTTTGATTTGGGGGATGGAAAAAAAAAAAAAAAGAAAGCCCTTGAATCATCATTCTAAAAAGAGTATTGACTGAATACTCTGTAAGACTCAAAGATTGATACTGCCCAGTGGTGTGTACCTGTGAGGCCTTAGATACCACAGTGAGGTGCCCTAGATAACCTGTAGTGCCTGGCCAGACACACTATATTTGACTAATGCAGTGTTTTTTTACTGTTAAATCGGTACTGCTGTTTGATGGCCAGATAGAGCAGTGATGGTGGCTGTGTAGGTGCTGCCACAAGTAGACAGGGGATTTTTCAGGTGATACTGGACCATTGGATCTTATTTATTCTCTGACCACTTTATACTGTTTCAGCCTAAAGGGACCTCTCAGGCTTTTAAGTGGGTATAAAAGACACGTATCATCTTTTTTTTGTGAAAAATGTGGTACTCTATTGGTGTTTTTCCAGCTAATGTTATGACAGCAGCAGCTAGGAAAAATGGGGTACCTTTTTTAGGCTGCTAAACAATCTTTTGTCCTTTGAATAAAATACACCTTCTGTAGCTTTGCTGTTTGCTTGTACCTTGTGAAACAAAGTCGTAGTAGAAATCCAGCTTGAAGGAATTCAGTTGAAAGAAATCTCCTCTGTCGTCGTAGGAGGAGTGTCTGCAGTACTTTTTCCATCCAGAAGAGTTAACTGGTCACAACATGTGCTTCTGTGAACAGTGTGGAATGAAAACACCTTTTATGCAGGTAATCAGAAAATTATTTCTCTATATGTCTTTTATACCCAGAACTGCCCTTAGGACTGGGGAGGGTGGGGAAAGGACTCAACCATATCAATTTAAGAGGAGATCAGCAATTCAAAGATTTCTTAGCACAGCAAATGTCAGTTAGGTATAAATCACATGCATCTTTCCTGTTAGAATGATCCCTTCTAGCAACAAAAGAATGCTTTCATGGGTTTTAATGTAAGTCACCGAGGAATGTAGCATTTCTGTTCCAAAGGAAAAGTTTCTGTTGGTTTATGTGGTGTTTCCACTGTGAGGCTTTACACCACTGTGTAGCTCCAGGGGTAGACAAGAATGTATTATTGGAGCTGTGCATACACATGAAAGTAAGATACTATAGGGTGATTTTCTTTCTTCCCTGCTCTCTGCTGTGCTCCCCATTTTTTACTGTATTGGTCTCTGCCAGCCACTGAATTAGCTGTTTCATGAAGAGGCAAGTGCATTGCAGAAACAGGTGTATGAGGGAGACTGCCTCAGCTCAAGGCTTGGAGGGGACTTTCCACACCATTTGTGCCCGTGGGCCACCTCTGTGGCCAAAATGCCTCTCTATGTCTTGGTGGCAGCCGTGGCACCAGCAGTAATATCAAAAAAGACGGTGCTGGAATCAGTGAGCTGTCAGCTTGGCATCCTCCATGGAGCTCTAGTGGCCACGTCACGAGGAAGTTGGCTTGCCTTTCCTCACCTACCTACTGGTACCAGCCTAGGGTTAAGAAAGCAGATGAGAAACAGAGCATAGAATCATAGAATTGCCCAGGCTGGAAGGGACCTCCAAAGGTCATCTAGTCTGATCCCCCCGCAGTCAGCAGGGACACCCCCAACTAGACCAGGTTGCCCAGGGCCTCGTAGAGCCTCTCCTTGAATATCTCCAGGGAAGGGGCCTCAACCACCTCCCTGGGCAACCTGTTCCAGTGCTCCACCACCCTCACAGTGAAGAACCCTCTCCTAATCTCCAGTCTAAATCTGTTCCTCTCCAGCTTGAAGCCATTGCCCCTCATCCTGTCACTGCAGGCCTGTGTAAACAGGCTCTCCCCAGCCTTCCTGTAGGCCCCCCTCAGGTACTGGAAGGCTGCTATTAGGTCTCCCCGGAGCCTCCTCTTCTTCAGGCTGAACAACCCCAGCTCCCTCAGCCTGTCCTCGTAGCAGAGGTGCTCCATCCCCCTGATCATCCTTGTGGCCCTCCTCTGGACCCTCTCCATTAGGTCCATGTCCTTCTTATATTGAGGGCTCCAGACCTGCACACAATACTCCAGGTGAGGTCTCACCAGAGCAAAGTGGCAGAATCCCCTCTCTGGACCTGCTGGCAACGCATCTTTTGATGCAGCCCAGGATGCAATTGGCCTTCTGGGCTGCAGCTGCACCCTGCCTGCTCATGTCCAGCTTTTCATCCACCAGCACCCCCAAGTCCCTTTCCTCAGGGCTGCTTTCTAACACCTCACCCCCTAGCCTGTACTGATGGTGAGGATTGTCCCGGCCCAGGTGCAGAACCTTGCATTTGCTCATGAGGTTCACCTGGGCCCACCTCTCCAGCCTGTCCAGGTCCTTTTGGATGACATCCCATCCCTTTGGTGTATCGACAACACCACACAGCTTGGTGTTGTCCGCAAACTTGCTGATGGTGCCTTTAATCCCCCTGTCTATATCATTAGAGCAGCCCATGAGACATCCAAGGCTGGGTGCTGATCACACTCAAGTTGAGAAACTTGGTTATCACAGCTCTGTTACGTGTATGTGTCTCACGTGCAGATGAGCTACAAAGGTCTGACATCTCTGGTGGAATTTGCAATCATTCACTGTAGCACTGACTGCTCTCAACTCCATTCACTGGGTGGCAATGGCTGTTTCCATCCCACCTCCCCAGAGTTTGTTCCTTAGTTTTCAATCCCATTATTTATTGCTTTACAGAGCATGAAGCTAGTCCATCTACCACAGACTCTGACCATACACCTGAAGCGCTTCTGCTTTGAAAAATCAGCCGATGTTCACAAGCTTAGTCACTACCTGCCATTTCCACAAGACCTTGATTTCAGTGCAGTCTTGACAGAAAATCAGTGTGAAGCAGATGAAAATGAAAAGGTAAGCTAATCCTAATGCCACGTCTAAAAAGGGCAGATTTTCTTCTCCCCTCTGCTCCAGTCTCATAAAAACTTAAGAGATCATATTAGTACTTGCCTCAAGTGTTCAAGGCACTTGTCTTAAAGATGTATGTCTCAGGCATTACCTGTGCCTGGTTTTGTCTCACATCTCATGTTTTTAGCTGGTTCAGGCATTATTCAACTTTCTGTTGAGATTAAACAACCCTCTGCTCAGATTAAATCACCAAAGGCACCATAACTGGAGCTATCTGCCATAAGGGCAAAACCTAGGCTTTACCAAAAAAAACCCCCTAAACAGTCTTTTTTTTTTTTTTCTGAGAGTGTTTAGCATAACGTTTTTCTTCCACTTCTAAAAATACTAAAGGTGAAAACACAGTTCATTTGGATGACCAAATCCAGGCATTGCAAACAGCATCTTAGAGGCAGGTTCTGTCCTGTGGTTCAGCCTCCGGGGCAGGATGGCCTCAGTGAGCAGCAGACCTACTGCTTTGCAGAGGTCACCACTCCAAGACAGGGGAACTCCATTCCTGGCAGTTTTCCATGCAGTGTTACCTGCAGTGGAGTTGAGGTTAGTGGGGAGATGGCAGCTTTGCCAAGCAGCTGGGAGGGATATCCCACAGTGTGAATCGGTTCCCCTTCTTGAGAAATAGCAAGGGTGACAACACCAAAACCTCGCTGGTGCAGTGTTGGCTGCCCCTTTGCTGTCCTACCATCTTTTTCACGTTCCTGTGATCTCTGGGGAGGCCACAGCCCATAGCTGGCAGGCAAAACTCTGAGGGTAACAGCGAAAAAGGCAGGATGCTCAAGGCCAATCTAATCTTTCTCCTTTTTCCTTATGAAACACACATTCTTGCTGTCTTGGCTGTTGCTTCTCTTCAGCTAGTGGCAAACGAGAATTGCTGCACTGAAAGTTGCTCCTTGTGGTTCTTCACAGGCCTCCTGGCAGTATGAGCTTTTTGCTGTTGTTGCTCATTCAGGATCAACCAATTTTGGACACTACTGTGCCTATATTCGAAGTCTCACAGAATGGAAATGGTGTTGCTTCAACGATTCCGAGGTTCGCGAGGTAAGGAGAAAAAAATCCACATTTCTTTTGTAGCTGGAGAGACTCTCCTGCAGATCTCATGCAGTCTGACTGCGTCTGATTAAAGAACCACGAAAGAAAACTGATGCTGCAGAGCTTTGTGCACCTCATTCCTCTGCTACCGTGTACTCTGAGCTGAGGGCAAAACAGCTCTAGCTTTTGTGCCAAACAAAGCTTCAGGTTCTGGTTTGCAGTTTGCTGGAGCAGCTGTTAGGTGTTATACCCTGCTTTATGTACTCTAGAGCTGTATAAGATGAGTGTGAAGAAGAGGCAAAGGAACTGGTTTTCCTCGAAGGGTAAAAGCACTAAACCAATTTATTAAAAGGTATTTAGTTCCTGGAAGGAACTTATACCACTCTTAGGAGAACTGGTGTGCTGGTATCACAATGTGTCTGTCTCTTAAGAGTTTTCACCAGCCTCCTCTTGTGTTTTTTTCTTCTCTAGGTATCGTGGGATGATGTTAAATGCACCTATGGACATTCTGACCTCACCTGGTAAGCAAATACATCTCTGCTTGTACCTAATGCTGCTCTGGGGTCTGGGGTGAGGGTAGTGAAGAGAGACAAGACAAATGGTTTGAACTGCGTATGGCCTGGGATGTACAGGGCCTGTAGGACAGTAGAAGAGGCTCGTGTTCTGGTTACTGTGATGTGACTGTCTGTGACTGTCAGGGGAGCCTGCAGGATCACTGAGCAGTCCCAAACAGGTCTGCAGGAGTGCTCTTCTTACTTCTGATTGCCAACTTTGACCCTATATCCTGACTGGATCAGATACATCAGTCAGGGTTCCTCCGTGGTTTTTGTTTTCATGCCTCATAAGAAAATGAGCCATGAAGAGAGATAATCCCTCCTATAAGCTATAGCACTGCTGGGGGTCAGCTTTGTGGAATTTTATGGAAAAAGGCCAGTTTTCCAGTTGGCCTAAACCTCAAAAAAACTAAGGAGGAGCAAACCTGGGGGGTTACTTGCAACCTAGGTCTTCAAACATCCATCTTGTTTTGCTTTTTCTTTGCTTCCACAGGGGACAAACGGCCTATCTCTTGACTTACATGAAAAAACCTCCTCAGTAGCCTTATCCAGGAGTGTGAGAATGTCTTGGGAAGCTGTGCGTTACCGGTGGAACTCCAGCACCTCTGTGCCAGTGTGGACATGTACAGATGTTCCACAAGACATTCTGCACTCTGTCAGCAACCTCTGCCTTCACATTTATTTATGAAAAAAATTGCAGGAGAGACTCAGTTAGAGAAAGGATCTAAGGACTCCTGGACCTAGAAACTTTTTCTTTTGTGTATTTTGGTATTTATGTGATTCGATATATTCATTTCTTCTTAAAAGATAGCGATGTTGGTCATCATCTCTGCAGATTTACCAGTTTCTTTAACGTTGATGCCTAGATTCCAGTACAGGGGAGGTGTTTGGCCTGAAAGCCTGCATGATCTTCCAGGGAGGCATGTGATATGGCTGGAGAGCTGGGATAACCACACCTTGCCAGTAAAACTGTAAGAGCTTGAGCCCTACTCTGCTTTTTTAGCACCATGTTAGGTGCTGGCAAGCTGGGCAGGGGACCCCAAGTCTTGAGAAACAGCTGGAACAAGGACCAGGACCCTTATGACACATGCACCAGCGATGTTTACTCCTTAACACCTTCCTGAGAATGAGTCACTGCAGGGCTTGAGATGTGTTTGAAAGTTGGTGTCAGCAAAAAGAGGTGCTTTTATGTCAGGAGCTATCGTAGTAGTTCTGATTTACAAGATGAGTTTGTGTGTATTTATGCAGATTATTATTGTTTTAGCGTACTTATCAGGAATTTATGTGCATTTTCTTTCCTACATAGAAGAAAATATTCAGAGTAAAAGAGATTCTGAAGCCAGATAGTGATTTTGCACAATGCAATCCATACACTGTGATAAGAAGAGACATGAGATGCCTTGATGCACTTGAAATTCTGGGATTTTCCTTTAGTATTCTTCAGCTGGTTGCCGGCTGGAATTGTTTTTCTCTCTTCCTTTCTTCTCTGCCCATGAAGTAGAAATGTCCCTCAAGCAGAAAGTGTTCTGGAGAAAACAATTTTGTAAAGAAAGTGAGTAATTTTTAAATCTCCTGTTGAGTCCTGTCGCACTGTGCTGTTGGTTCAGCCTGTGCTGCCGTGGCAAGACCACACAGCTGGAAGGAAAATGTTGAGAGAGCTAGAAAGGAAGGTTGGTAATGTGACAATCAGAAGTGTTCTAAAAGCTCATCATTCAGCTGTGAGTAAAGTTAGAAGCGTTGGTTGTGATGCTTTTAAAGTCCTCGAGGTAATTCTGGACATACCACAGCCTGTGACAGGATCAGTGATTCCAGTGGTTTGAGATCTAAAAGTATTGTCTAGCTGAACACGTTCTTTGACTGTAACTTTATAAGGGTGCTATTTTTGGGGGGACTGAGCACGTTTTGAAATTACTAATTTAGTTATAACAGCAGCTGTATATATAACTTAATTTTATTTTGATAATGATGATGAAGTTCCCAAATCATGTCTCTTTTCTGTCAGCGTGTGGAGGGTGAACTGAGAAATCTTGGAGCATAGCTATGACATTACATTTTTATGAACTAGCAGGTATTTATTTCATTTTACTAGCAAGGTCTATTATTCTGATCAGCTGTCTTGTATTTGTACTGTTCACTTTGCCTTTTTAAAAAAAAAAGACACAACCACAACCCAGTGTATTGTTTGTCACTAGGAAGAGGAATTTTCAGCCTGTTCACCTTTGGGAATGCGTTACACTCTTTCTAAAGCACCTTGCAGTGGGTGAGTAAGAAAAACCATCTTCCTGGCTGCTTTATCCAGCACTTTGCATATGTGAAGCAGCTGAAAGGCAGTGCCCTTCCGGAAACTGAGAAGTTAATGGGTTAAGAGACTGACAAGACATTTCTAACTTGATATAACCTGAAATTTAAAACCAAGCTATGCTTATGAAAAATGCCTCAAAAGTGTCATAACCTTCCGGGTATATCACCCACCATGGAAGCAATTGCTGAGATACTGACTGAAAAGATTCTTAATGTATCTCAATGAAAATAATCAATTTTTTTTTTTTTTAAATAAATTAATATGGGATAAATTCCATAGAAAATAAGTCTTGTGGATTATTCTCGGTGTGTTTTTTTTCTAAGTACCATAAAGGGAGGTGGGAGGTACAGTCCACATGCACAGAGGTTGTATGCCCAAATTTAGCTATTCAGGCTTCACCTACTGCTAATCTTTGGCTCCAACAGCCAAGGAAATGAGGGTAAACCTTCCCTGGGCACTTCTCCCCCGTGCTGGAGACACAATGGGTTTATTGTCAGGTTTTGTTTATTGTCAGGTTTTGCTTCCAGGTGCAGATGGGCCACGGGAGGAAGGGAAGGTGTGCAAACTGCACCGCGTAGAGATGCCAAAACTCTACCCGAGCTGAGCTGCTTTTGTGAAAAATCACCTTGGCTGCCTCTGCCTCCACAGCAGACTTGAATGAAGCCTAGCACGGGTAGGAAGGGCTTTGAAAAGCCAGATAAAGCCAAAAGTACACGTGTGGAGAGATTATTGTAGGTCCTGGTAACTCTTCTTTTCCTTTTTTTTTTTGTTTGGTTAAGGATTACCATGTCTTCAGGGAAGGAGCAGTAGCAAAATACACATTCTCTGCTTCATCTCTGACAGACTGCTCCCCAGATTCAGATATTCCCCACCTTCAAGAAACACATTCAAAAAAGTAAACATATATAACAGGTATAATAAATATATATCATGCACATGTATAATCTCTAAAACTTCAATATGTTGTAACTCCTAAAATTACACATGAAAGTAAAAGAGAAGCCATTTTTTGATACTTTACTTCCAGTATTGTTTTAATTTACAAGAGTCACTTATCAAACTAGTGCAGCGTTTTTGTGTAAATACCAATGATAACATGAGATCCACGTTTAAAAAAGACCTTCAAAAAAGGACCCGTTCTAATACGGATTAAAAAACATGGGTTGGTAAGACTGTAGTTACTCTAAACTACAATGAAATGTGTAAATCATATTAGGACGTAGCATTACGAGTAATTTTAATAATAATGGCTTCACTGATGATTTTGTGGACTGCAATAATCTGTGGTGTCTGATAGATTCCAATAGTGAACCCTGGGATGATGTTCCTGCAGGGGAATGGTGGTAGTTTTAAGTCATCAAAGGCATCTTCCAAGGGGTTTAACCTTTGCTAAGCAGGTTCTGTCACTGGGTTTTTTTGGCCCCTGGGGACAGCTTCAGTTTTTGGCCCCCCTGGAAGCCAGCGCTGGCCCTTCGCTGGCCCCCCGGCGTTCCCTACAGCTTTGTCTCACTGGTCTCCTGTCCACAGAGCCGTGTTTCTGGTCCTGCCCTGACTGAGACCATACATTTCCAGGGAAATTTTGGCCGTGTCAAGCCAGGATCAGCTTTGCCAGCAACATCCCTGCTGGTATTTCCTCTGACACCACAGCTTGGGCTCGAAGCTGTGAGCGGAGAGCAGCACTCCCCTGGCAAGTGCAAACACAAACCCCCAACCAACCTTTCAGAGGTATTTTATGAAGCAATTAGTGTTTTAGAAGAGAGCTATTTAGCTCTGACTCCTCCGTGCTGTTCCCCACGTGGCTGGCTTATGTTTTACCAGCTCCAGGTTGGCAGGCTCAGTGCTGGTTGCACCTGCCTGTGGAAACGTGCCCGGGAGTCAGCAACACTTCAGAGAGCTTGACAGAGATAAAAAAAAATAATTCTGACATAGATGAAGCCAAGAAACTGGAAGAGAAATAGTTTTGAGCTAAATCTACCTGAATTAAAAAAAAAATTATAATAATCGCAAGGGCTGTGAAGAACTGGACAAGGACTTTAACATAAAGGCAAAGGGAACAAAGACCTTCACACAAGCTTAAGAAAGGGTGATCTGAGCTAATGACTGTTTTCCTAAAATAGACTAATGAGTGAAATTTCAGCCTAATGACCGGGATGCACTTTGATTCAGGATGAAAACTCTGGAGCAGCGAGTGGGTTAACCCTCTCCACGCCAGCCTTTGCGATGGGCAGAGTGGAGGTTGAGGAGCTGGGGGAGAGTCCCTCTCATTAAGGAGGTGGTTACGTGTCACTGAGGGACAGGGGACACAACAGCTGCACTGGAAGGCCAGCCTGTTATCTACATCAGCTTCTGCAATGTAAGAAGTACCTGAATGAAGCGACCTGCCCCAGGTCACCAGGCGTTTCAGAGCCCACCTGTTGAAACATGGTGCTACCCCTGGGGCTGGTTTTGCCCATAACAGGCAAAGAAATGACTGGGAAGGAAAAGTTTGTTAGCGGCTGGACAAACAATAAATGCTTACCACTTGCATCCTTAAAATGAGTCCTTGCAAAATTTTGGGCAGGGCTCAGAAAGCAGGTCGCTTGCCAGCTCCTTCTGGCAGGACACAGGAGCCTCCAGGCTGGGGTCAGACCCACTCTGCATAAAATCAAGAGGTTTTGGATTTTCCAGAACAGGCTGCTATTCCTGCTGAGCCTTGGACAACTGTTATTCTGTTTAATGCTGAAGAAGATCTTTTAACTGTGAACGGTAAAAAAAATCTAATGTAGGACGGCACGCAAACAGAAAAAGCCATCAAGTGACACCAAGGAACCACCAAGGGACAAGATGCTTGGCTTCTGAAAAGTGGGTGAGTACAGAAAACAGCTCCAGGAAACACAGGTGTGCCACAGCGTGCCGGTTGTGGCCAGCAGTCTCACAGATTAAGGAGTTTTGGTTTTGAAGAGTCACGCCGAGCTCACATGATGGATCTTGAAAAGATGAAGCTTTGTTTATTTCTCAGCTCCCGTTTCAAGTGAGAGAACCCTCCCCTAGAAGGACCATGTTGTCCCTGTGTCCCACAGCTCTGGAGCATGAGCCATAGGCTGCAATGGAGGGGAGATGTATAATTTGGGTGGCTGGTGCTCTGGGGATCATAGCATCAGAGAATACCAGGTTGGAAGGGACCTCAAAGATCACCTGTTCCAACCTTTCTTGGCAAAAACACCATCTAGACAAGATGGACCAGCACCTGACCAGCTGAATATTAAAAGTGTCCAATGTTGGGGAATCCACCACTTCCCTGGGGAGATTATTCCAATGGCTGGTTGTTCTCGTTGTAAAAAATTTTCCTCTTGTGTCCAATGATGGATGGGATGAAGCAGTATTGGGATTTTTTTTAACAATGATCCCTCCTGTGGCCATAACTGTGCCTCCTCCTGAGACAAATAGCTTTTTGGCTTCTTTGGCAGGGGGGTTGGACTAGATGGCCTCCAGAGGTATCATGGCCTCCAACCATGGAGGACTAGATGGCCTCCAACTAGATGGTTAGACTAGATGGCCTCCAACCCCGTATCATTCTGTGATTCTTCTGGTGATGTGAGCAGGAGCAGACAGGTGAGATGAGAAATTGTTCTTTGGGTGTGTGCAAACTCTCTAAATCTCACTTTTCTTGCAGGAAAGCAGAGACTGTGAGGTGTACAAGAAGCTGTGACCTCAGTCAATGCAACGTGTCACCAAATTCATGCGAGGAGCCCACAGCAAGTTTTTTAATTCTTCAAAGGGTGAGATAAAGGCAAAATCCCTGCCTTCTCTAGCTTGTTATAGCACTTCTGCCCATATTTTCCTTGTCGGCAGCTGCTCAGCAGGGAGGAGAAAGGGGCAAAGTCTATTTAAAATGTTTTGCAAGGGGCTGTGGCCTCTCCTTGCCTGTGGTGGCGGAGAGGGGACCACGCACGGCCACCTACCTGGAGCTGCCCACCCATGTGAGGATGCCCACCCTGGGCCTGGGGACCTGGCAGGTCCCTGCTGGAGCTGGGGACCTCTCCTTGTCCCCATGCCTCTGGTCACACAGGTGACAGCATGGAATGGCTGAGACTTAAGGTAGACATTTTCAGCAACCTCCTCTTCAGGTCAGGAAAATGCAGCAAATCCTCCGTGCAGCGTTTCTTGCTTTTTGAAATATTTCAGGTAATCCAGGTGTTTACACCTCTCCTTCAGGATGGTTGGTTTTTTAAGTGAGCAGGTAGTGCTTGCTTAGTGCAGGTAGAAGGAGATTTTTCCTTAGCTATGGACAAAAATGACATACTACAAAAGTAAAACCTTCTGTCTAGCTTGTTTGTTGGTTTTTTTTTCACTTTTGGCACTAGGTATTAAAATGGCAGCATGCCACGTAGATGTCATCTTCGATGAGTGCACGTAGATATAGGAACTTAAGTGGCAATGAGTGGATTTGGAAATAGGAATGTGCATTAACTCCTTGGAGACTGAGGCTAAGTTTTGTATGGTGGCAAAGGAGCACGCAGCACTTCGCTGGAAAATAGTCTGCAGAGTTCTTTACCTGCAAATGTTATCTAATGGAGTTTTGGTAACAGGGAAGATTTAAAGACACACTGAATTATAAATGTCAAAGGAGGCTGGAAACGAGATTTAAGAAGGAAAACAAAAAAAAATAGTGGATTGTCCCCTGGATTTGAGACTGGAAACTAAATGTGTTGAATTGCAAGCAGCCAACTCTAGAAGACACTGTCCAGTCGGCACAAAAGTATCTTAGATTATTCTTGCTATATTTTTGGGTGGGCTGCTGCTGAGCATCACATAACTTACGCACAAACGGGGCTGAGGTTGTTTGATCCTTTCAGTCTTGATTGGTCTGATGACAAAAGGCACTAAGAAACCTAAAGTAACTAAGTAGGCTTCAAAAAACCAAAGTGTGCTCTGCATGGGGCCTCTGAGGACACTGGTGCTGTGGTGGGTGACCTCCCTGAAGGGACGTGTTAAGACGCCAACAGGAACTGGTTAGGACTAAGCAAAAGGAAAATTTTGGACACATGATCCCTGGTACCACAAAAATCTCATGTTAATGCAATGAAAACATGGCCCAAACCCACTGCGATTACTTAATCAAAGCTATTAGATCTCAAGGTTCCCACAGCAGCTTCAGCTGTGACTCCCCGTGTTTCAGTGTGGCAACGGGGCCTCTCCTTTACCCAGTCACTCTGCCTTCAGGAACTTGAGGTCCTGCTCAGTGACTAATGTGTAGAATGAAGCAATGGATTATTTTTCT